CAAGTTTTCTCAAAAAATTTTGAAGAAATGTGATGTCCGTCTTTATGAAATAGGGGAACAACCACTTTTTGGTTTTTATTCGCACGATCGTTTGTCATTCTTTCGAGAATCGCAGATGCTCTCGAGGAATCTCGTACGCGCGCGATCCAAACGGCGACGATGTGTTTGTTGCTTCAAAAGATTTCGTAATTGTGAAAGCAAACCGCCGTATGAAAAAGTTGCCGTCTAAAAATAATCATCACGTTGAAAACGAGGACCGATCGACATTATGCAAAGGCGTATAATCATATATTAATATAATTATCAATAACGTATCAGTGTAAAGATGCTTGTATACAAACCGTTGCTTATTGTCATGGCGCCTGCTTTCCGAGCTTCTCAAATGAGCAGCTGTGTCCTTCTTCTGACGCACAATTTTTCGTGCGGTAGAGATAAACAGGCAAATGTTGCAGATAACGGTGACACCTATGGGTCCGATAAAATATATCGCCATCGCCTTGTTCGCTGAAACGAAGAATTAAATTTCTGGCATTTTTATACGTCGCATTTTGCAAGCGCTTAACTTTGACAAATCTCAAATCTGGTCTTGATAAGACGTATGGTTTTAATAGAACGTCACTGTCGTAAGCTATTAGTAAACGTTCACTTACTATTGAACCAACACTTCGTTTTACCGAACTCCGGTCGGATAAATTCCTTTGGCACGCTGATGGGAACGAAATCCATGATGACACAAATGACGGTGAGGATGGAAGCGCTTCCCCACGCGTAAATCGAATACATAACAAATTTTTTTTTCTCTCGTTGCTTTACGTTTCCTTGTAACGAACGGAATTCTCTGCAAAATGTGATTTATATGCCATATTGTTGCCAGCAACAAGTAGAACAGGTCAGCATGCAAATACAAATCAAAATAATTATCGCTTTTGGTCGCTTCTTGGAAATATGACCGATGCGTTGAATTTTGTTTAATACGTTTTATGTAAGCGGTGTGTAACTACTGGTACGTAATTATATATTGAAAATTATTACTATTTCGAATTTAATTTCCTATATTTATTTAAGAAACGTAAACAGAAAATTATTTGGAAACGTTTAAAGACTGACATGAAATATTAGATTGTTCTTGTAACTTTCAAAGATGTCTTTCAACTCTATCAATCTCAATTAAATGAGTAGCTCTTCGGTAACGCAATTGAGTTTGAATGCTACAAATTTATAAAAAAAGTGTGCAAATTAGAAACTTCCATTAATGTTGCATATTAAATTATAATATCTCATTTGAGAAGGACCAAATTATGGTTAAAACGTCGTGAGTTTTAATAAATGAGAATTGGGAAGTCGGGTTGCTTAATTTTTTATTTTATTTTTAATTATTTACTGGCGAAGAAAAGGTTATCATTGTTTTTATAAATATCTTGCTCTATTTCGTTCGAGAAATATTACAAGATTGTCTTTAAAAGATAATTTGATTGCATATAAAACGTAGTATGGAATATTTTGATAGCCTACCCGAATGTCCACCAAATGTCAAAGCAAATCACGTTTAACCAGAAATAGCTTGCCAAAGCCGAGAAGTAAATGACGAAACCTGAAATAGAATGAACAACTATAATATTAATCACGCATTATGGTGCCGATAATAAGGCTTATGTTCGCCCGTGAAGAAACAGGTTTACTCTGCTTTT